TGCAGAGTGCTGGCAGAAATGCCAGATCTTACAGAACCTCTGCCGTGGACCCTGACAGGTCTACTAAGGAAAAAATAAGTACAACCTTGATGTTAAAACCTAGTTTTGCCCACAGTAGTATAAATTACTTTTTTACTGCAGTTTGTATAAGTGCCTATCAGTGCCTATCAGTCTTTATCATTAACCACTTCTCCATGCAAAATCCCTTTAGTTGCTGGGTTTCCTTGCATGAACTGCCATTTCAAAATCCCCCTACAAACATCAAATGGGAATCAAATCGGTACTTTGACTACGGCAGTCTATAACCCTTTATGTCTTTTTTCTGAGCCATTCATTGGTAGATTTGCTTTCTTTCAGATCCTTATTGTGCTGAAAGGCTCATTTCTGGCTCAACCTCAACTTTCAGACAAATAGCCTCATATTCTTATCAAACACACTTTGGTTTGATAATATAGATTTTATAACTGATTTTATAACCGAGAGCTGGTCAGAACATAAAGCAACAAAGCAAACACAAAACATAAAATTTCCACCACAATGCTTCACAGTTATAAGGTTTGTCTCCTAAAATATTGTCTTTGGTTTGAGCCAAACATGGCTCCTGCTAGTGTGACCACATAACTCGTTGATTAATCATTCTTCAGCACGTTGTACAAGGAGGCTTAGAATTTGCCTAAATATTCGATGGCAAGCTGCAGTCCTTCTCTTATGTTCTTTTTGGATTCAGGCTTCTTCCTAGCACGCCTTTTTCTTCAGGGTAAATTGGTGCAATATCTTTCTAATTGTAGATACATGCACTTTGACTCCAGCTGTTGCAATAGTTACCTGAAGACTCTGCAATGAAATTTCAGGGTTCTTGGAAACTTCTTTTAGCATCAAATGAACCGCTCTTGTGTTAAATTTACTGTTCTCTCAAGTCCTGGACCAATTACCAGTTGGTTGAAATCTATCTCACTGGTAGATGGTTTTCCTTACAGTGCAATGATTGATTTCAAACCAGTTGGTGATCTTTTTAAACCCCTGCCAGACTAATAAGCATCCACAACTTACTTTATGGGGGCCTTAGAGAGCTCTATTGATCTTGACATAATGACACCACACTTGTCAATGGCAAAGAGAACACCAGACCCCTGGATGTCTGAAGTTTAAATGAGACAGGTTCTACCTGCCTACTGCCTAAGGAGGTTCTAATCCATTGAATATCCAGGGCGAATATACTTTTTTTTTGTAGATCTGCATTTTTGTAAATTTACAGTTGTGCTCAAAAGTTTGCATACCCTGGCAGGAATTGTGAAATATTGCCATTGGTATTGAAAATATGATTGATCATGCCAAAAAAAATGTGTTTTATTTTTAAGGATAGTGGTCATATGAAGCCATTTCATATCACATGTTTGGCTCCTTTTTAAATCATAATGATAAGAGAAATCACCCAAATGGCCACGATCAACAATTTCCCTCCCCTGGAATGTTTGGTCTTGGTACAGACAAACAAGGTGACATACAGGGTTCAAATGGCAATTAGAGGTTAATTTCCCATGTCTGTGGCTTTTTAAATTGCAATTAGTGTCTGTGTATAAATAGTCAATGAGTTTGTTAGCTCTCATATGGATGCACTGAGCAGGCTAGACACTAAGGGGTTTATTTACTAAAGCTGGAGAGTGCAAAATCAGGCTCACTTCTGCATAGAAGCCAATCAGCTTCCAGGTTTTATTGTCAAAAGCTTAATTAAACAAGCTGAGGTTAGAAGCTGATTGGTTTCTATGCAGAAGTGAGCCTGATTTTGGACTCTCCAGCTTTAGTAAATAAACCCCTAAGCATCGGGGAGCAGAAAGAACTGTCAAGAGATCTGCGTAACAAGGTAATGGAACTTTATAAAGATAGAAAAGGATATAAAAAGATATCCAAAGCCTTGAATAAGACAGTCAGTACTGTTCACTCACATATTAAGAACTGGAATATTCAGAGATCTCTTGATACCAAGCCAAGGTCAGGTAGACCATGAACGATTGCAGCCAGAAATGACAGAAGAATTTTTTGGGATACAAAGAAAAACCCACAGGCAACCTCAGGAGCAAATACAGGCTGCTCTGGAAAAAGATGGTGCTGTTGCTTGAAGGAGCGCGATACGACAAAACTTGACCAAAACGAGCTGCATGGTCAAGTTGCCTTTACTGCACCAGAAAAAAAGGCCAGTTACAATAAGCCCTATAACACCTTGACATGCCTCATGGGGCTTTGTATATATATATATATATATATATATATATATATATATATATATATATACAAAATAGCAGTAGTCAATGGCAAATCCGGTAGGCAGGTTGTACCCAACTTGATCGATCGATCACCTTGGGTACATTCAGCCTGCCCATACGTGGTTTGAATCTTGGCTGGTTCCTGCTGAACCGACTGAGATTCATACTGTCTATGGCCGTGTTAAGAAGTAATAGGACTAGCTCAAATCAGTCACAAACAACAAGTCTGTCGACAGAGTCCAAACAGATAGACTCACCTGTGTCAGTGCTGTACCATGCATCCCCACGAGTTATATTGGTGGGTTTTATTCATGTTTTTAATAGTTAATTATTGTAATAAAAACTAAGTTTTTATATGCTTTATATTTGTAAACTTCATGTCCTTGGGTACCAGAAAAAAAGTCAATTGTGGAGTTTTTTTCTCCCTTCTTTCCCTTTTTCACTATACAATGTTTGGATGATGGTGCCCTCTGGCTCTACTTTAGTTCTTACTTAGGCTCTATTCCATCTAATGTTTGTCTGCTCAAATATGTTGGAAAAAGTCAACAATTCCCATGTGGCTTCTTTACCATTTTACACGAGTGAAGACAGATTGACATTGAGCCTGATGTGCCTGATAAAGTAAAGGAACAAACAATTGTAGGAATTATTTGTTACATTATGCTTGGTATCCATGCACATAGCCATCCTAATCCCTGTACCTATCTAGTTGATGGTATACTGATAGATAGGCAGTCCTCACTGTTTTAGCCATAGGGAAACACAGTGGCTTAGTGGTTGGCAGTTCTGCTGTGCAACACTGGGTTCCCTGCTTTGAAGTTGGGATAGGACACTATCTGCATGGAATTTGCACTTGCTCCCTGTACTTGCGTGGGTTTCCTCTGGGTTTTGGGGTTTCCTCCCACATTCTAAAGACATTGACCCTCACGCCAGGGTGCTAGGCATAATCCTAGACTCTGATCTCTTCTTTGGGCCCCACATCAGCCTCAGCCTCCGGAACATTTCCAAAATCCGCCCCTTCCTAACCAATGACACCACAAAACAACTTATCCACGCCTTGGTTTTATCCTGCCTTGATTACGGCAACTCCCTCCTCACTGGTCTTCCGTTACACAGGCTATCCCCCCTTCAGTCTATTATGAATGCTGCTGCTAGACTCATCCACCTTACCAACCGATCAGCGACTGCTGCCCCTCACTGCAAATCCCTTCACTGGCTTCCACTAACCCAACGTATGAAATTCAAAATACTAACCACAGCTTACAAAGCCATCCACAACACTGCCCCTAGGTACATCACCAACCTCTGCAGATATCGTCTGCTCCTCCCAAGACATCTTCCTCTCTAGCTCCCTCATCACCTTCTCCCATGCTCGCCTCCAGGACTTCTCCAGAGCCTCTCCCATCCTATGGAACTCCCTACCACAGTATGCCCGGTCAGCCCATACCCTGTCTGCCTTTAGGCGATCTTTGAAAAACTCACTTATTCGGGGAAGTCTACCCCACCTCCACCTAAGAACTGTACTTGAACCACCTCCACCAGATCATCCCCCGCAGCTATCGCCTTTTGTATCACCTTCACCTTCCTTTAGATTCTAAGCTCCACGAGAAGGGCCCTCCTATTCCTTCTGTACTGAATGTATTGTAATTGTACGGCCCCCCTTATATTGTAAAGCTCTGCGCTATATAAATTCTGTATAATATATAATAATAATAATTGACCAGTATGTATGTTAGATAGGGATCTTAGATTGTAAGCTCTTTGTGATCTGAGGCTGATGTGTATGTAAAGTGCTTGGCACTAAATAAATGTTTGTGATGAGAGCCATTTTAATACACGGGCATCCCTGGGCACTGCCCAGGGGCCCCAAGTGCATTGGGGCCCCATGATAATCTTAAATTACATCATATTTATAAATTGTCCTGGATTTGCTGTACTGTGCCCTCTTTATCTGGCCCCCTCCCTAACTGTACCCTTCTGCATCCCCATTGAACTGTGCCCTTTATGTTGATTAGTCTTTGATTTATGGCATGTTTTCTTATTGTTTAAAATCAATTTTATTGAAAGTACTAATAAATATATATTTAATTCTATCAGCTATTTATACTTTAATTCTTGGGAGTAGGTGTGAAAATTGGGGCACACTGGTAGAGGACCCAGTGCAGTACTTTGCCCAGGGGCCAATGATGCTTTTAAGATGGCCCTCTCTGTGATCAGGGTGCCTTTTTTTTCAGAGAATATGTGCAGGTACTCCCACCTTCTGAGTCACCCCTTGTCCTCGCCCCCTACCCACCTCCAAGCACTGTCCCTTGGTTCTACCCCCTACCCTCCTTCCAGTTCCGCCCCTTTTAGAGAATACAGAACCGAGTATCATTTTGTGGTGCTAAGTAATTTGTATGAAACTTGTTAATGATAACAAGAAAAGCAGTAAAATAGGTCCCCTGCGGCCAGCATCAAATGGACCACCTCAGCAACAACAGATCTCCCCAGCATCAATAGATCCCCAGCAACAACATATTCTCCCAGAAACAATACTGTAGATTCCCCAACATCAATAGACACTTGCCTCAACAGTAGATACCTCCCAGCAACATATGACCCCCCCCAGCAACAACAACAATGTATTCTCCACCAGCCACAATAGACCTCCACAGCAACAACAAACACCCCCCTAGAGCAATAGAACCCTCCCATTGACAATAGATCCCCCAGCAGCCAGCATCGATAGACCCTCCAACCAGGGGCGGACTGACCATTTGGAAACTCGGGCACTGCCCGAGGGCCCGGGGTCAGTAGGGGGCCCCATGAGATGTCCCTGGTACCTTTTTCATAGGCTTTTTTGAGTTTGGGCAAGGACACAGGGGCCCCATGATCCCCTATTGCCCAGGGGCCCCATGAGTTGTCAGTCTGCCCCTGCCTCCAGCACTCCTTGGCATTAAATACATTCAGTGCTGGAGGTGTCAGAACTGCATTCCCCCGTGTTCCCACTAAATAAAATGCCCTGCCTGTAATAAATGAATGTATCTATATCTATATCTAAATCTATATCTCCTGTATATGTAGAATATTATAAATAACAGTCCCAAGTGGGGAGCTGCACATTGAAAAAGTCCAACTCCACTCCACCATACAAGTGGGCACCAGCCACCACCAAAAATATAGAAAGAGGACTGGGAACGGAGTGCAACAACCATGGTTTGTTCAATGGATTGATGGATTAAACACAAATTGATCATTGCATTTCAATCTTGGGCCTCTTCGTAATTCAAATATGTATATATATATATATATATATATATATATATATATATATAACACAGGGCTTTTTTGTCAGAGAATAGGTGCAGGAACTTTTTTATTTCCACCCTTGTCTCCGCCCTCTACCCACCTCCAAGCACTGTCCCTTGGTTTCCCCTCACCCACCTCCCCAGTCCCGCCCCTTTTAGAGAATATAGAATGAAGTATAACTTTGTGGTGTGTTAAATCATTTGTATGTAATGTGTTAATGATAGCAAGAAAAGCAATAAATTTACAGTAGATCCCCTGCAGCCAACAGCAATTGATCCCCTAATACAATAGTCCCCCACCCTCCCAACAACAATGGACCCCCACAACAAAATACCACCCCAGTAAATACAGACCCCCAGCAGCAACAACAGATCTCCCAGCAGCCAGCAGCAACATGCCCCCCCAGCAGCCAGCAACAATAGACTCCTCCCTCAACAGGGGGTCCATCCCAGTAACAATGGCCTCCATGCAAAATAGATTCCCATCAGTGGCAATAGATCCTCCATCAGCCAGCATCAATAGACACTCCAGCACATCCCAGCACATCTTGCCATTGCATACATTCAGTGCTGGAGGTGCTGGAAACAATAGACTGGGTTCCCCTGCGCTCCTGCTGAAAAAAGTTATATATATATATATATATATATATATATATATAACATATATTATATATACACACACTGTATGTATATATATATATATATATATATATATATATATATAATATATATATACTAACAGTATATAGTTTGCAAATATATTTATGCTATATCTCTCGATGACATCTCACTAGGTTTTATTAATTATATTATATAGAAAGAAGAACGTGGCAGCAGAATTAAACATTATTTGTGCGTACGTACCCAGTCTCCCAAATCTACATGCTTTTCTGTACACAAATCTTTTATGCTGTCACTGTTAAGTACCTCCAGGCAGATCTGAAAGGCAGAGAGCCAGTGGGGAGTGCATGTATCTGTCTCCGCTTACCCTTCAGCCTTGTGAAGACACAGGAGGATGGGATATATTGTAAACAAAATATAATAAATTACCGAGGAACTGAAACAAGGGAAATAAAAGCACTGGTTGCTCCATTACCCTCCTCTGTAAAGCAAGACGGAACTACTGTCTGTCTGTTACACGGGTGTAGTAATTACAGTTTAAAATGTATACATGAAATATACTTAAAGGTGTTCTCTAGACAAAATGGAAATACAGGCAGGAGACAGAAACAGGCGTCCGCTGAAATGACGCAAACATTTTTTGATCATGTATGATCCGTTCTACAGTTTGGTCCTTTTTAGGTCGTATTCACCATCTACGAACCTTAAAGCTGAAGTTTAGGTTTCTTTTTTTTGTTTTTTTTTTAATCAGCACTAGAGATGATTCTTACAATGAAATGAAAAGGGTCCCTTGTTCTGGTGATCTGTTTGGTTGAATTCTTCTTTCTTCTGCACCCCCCCATATCCAAGCAGCTGTACTCTTTTGATGTTGAAGGGGTTAAAACAGCCACTGGACCTATCATAGGCACTCACCTGAAGTGCTGACTACAGGGGTTGGGCAGAATTATGGAGTTCGTGAACACCACTTAATAGTAAAAATGGATCTAAAAATATCTAAACATCCAGGAATTGTGCTAATGATGAATAAATATCTCCAACAAGAGTGTTCTTGTGGTGCATAGTGCAAAGTTTCAAGGTAAGATGGTGAGAAAATTAGTGACTTCTGTGACCATGTTCATCCCACAGAGATGAGTGTAGATTGCACTAACCAGAAAGCGCAATGGTTATCAAAGTGCAAGCGCACGAAAACACGTTAGGGAGGTGCCTTACACCCTGTGACGTCACACCACACGGCCCCTGTGGACGGACGGCGGCCATTTTGGAATTACCTGTTACCAGCTGTTCACTACTGCTTGTGAGTAGTACATTCAAGTACCTGTTTATTTTATCCCTGTGGCTATTAAAATACTACACTATCAGATCTTTCTGTGTTCTGGCTCGTTACTTCCGAGCCCCCCCCCCCCTCCTCCAAGGCTTATTAGGATGATCTGGAGGCCACATCATGAATGGTTAAACTCCCCCTGCTGGTGAGACAATTACATATCCCCTGGTACCTGGAGACCCTGAGGTTGCGATACTTGCCCAGCTGACGCAGGCCAGACGACCCTCGCTGTGATCCAGTTCCAATAGGTGGATGACCAGGAGTTGGTTAACACTCAAATGTGGATTACCATTGCACTTTCTGGTTAGTGCAATCTACACTCATCTCTGTGGGATGAACATGGTCACTGAAGTCACTAATTTTCTCACCATCTTACCTTGAAACTTTGCACTATGCACCGCAAGAACACTCTTGTTGGAGATATTTATTCACCATTAGCACAATTCCTGGATGTTTAGATATTTTTAGATCCATTTTTACTATTAAGTGGTGTTCACAATGCCATTTTTTCAGCTATATGCACCGTATGATTATATGCATTTCTATCAATGTATTATTGAATTATATTAGCGCTGCATGTTCGTTTGATATATTTACTTTGGAGGCTCCTGGTGTTCGCCTTTCATGCTAGTCGCTTTTTGGTTTTTATCCAGCGCTCGTATCTTTTCTGTTTTTATTAGATTTATGGAGTTATCATTATTATCTAATATGGTGTTGGCATCTATGGCAGCTTGGGAATTGACAAATACGTCTTAGATGGTGGATATTGGAATCTGATACCACTATTTATGCAAAAAGTATTCCAGAGATGTCAGGGGGGTGGAAAAACAAGCCCGAACCTTGTTCTCCAAAATTGACCATAGTAGTTTTATGATATTGAGGTCATCTACATGATCATCAAACCACAATTTAAAAACACCAGCTGTGTGAATTAGAGCACTATCATCTTGATAAATGGCACCAGGGGCGGACTGACAACTCATGGGGCCCCTGGGCAATAGGGGATCATGGGGCCCCTGTGTCCTTGTCCAAACTCAAAAAAGCCTATGATAAAGGTACCAGGGGCATCTCATGGGGCCCCCTACTGACCCCCGGCCCTCGGGCAGTGCCCGAGTTTCCAAATGGTCAGTCCGCCCCTAAATGCCACTGTCTTCTTTGGTGCACATGATTGGTCAAACTTTGTACATATTCACTGGCAGTGACTCTACTTTTCAAGGTGATGATGGGGCCTGCAGAATACCAAGATACCGCTGCCCAAACCATGATTGCGTTGCCACCATGCTTTACGGTTGGCACAAGACATTCCTAGTTGTAAGCTTGGGACAGTGTTTGCCACAAGTAAACACGACCAGTGGTTGGGAACAGTGTGAAGCTCAATTCATCAGACCATATTACAGTCTTCCATTGATTGATAGTCCATGATTTAGGTTTGTTGCACCACTTTCTCTTCTGAGCATTAATACAGGTCACTAGTGGTTTGGCAATTGCAGATTGCCTGTGAATGTTTTGCCTATGGAGTCCCCTTCGCACAGTTTTTGTGGACATGGGCTTTGGAAGACTGAGATTGAGCTCTGCAGTCCCTTTTGCAGTAATTGTTTTTTTATTCCAGGTCACAATCCTGCGCAATGTCCTTTTGTCTCTTGTCAACAATGTCAACGCAAAATATGTCGTCACTTTCACATCTGCAAATCATGTAGTGTTTACATATTTTTGTCCAACCCCTGAATATGTGCCCTTTTCACTTCCTTTTTCATTCATGGAAGCTGCACTATCACTTCCTGCAATGGAAAGCGCTCAATGAATGGAGGAGGTAGACCTTTCATTTATCCCACCCTGCATCCATTGAGTGCTTTTCATTGCGGGAAGTAAAAATAGAAGTTAGCAAATTTATAAAAATACATTTAGCATCTTTTTGATCCCATACATTAATTGTTTTCACCATTTTTTGCATCTCAGTGCCTCTGATCTTCTTAATCTACGTTTAACCACTTCCTGTCTACATGCACTAACTTTAAAAATGGCTGCACAACATTGATCTTGAGCAGGTTCCTCCTTGTGCCGAAGATGGGTCATGCCTCTGTCTCCATCAGGGTTGCAGAAAGGCAATGCAAGAGCACATTTGGGAGACAGTTATCACCCAGTGACAGGAGGTGCCTGAGCTAGGACCCTAATGGCTGGATCACCATGTTTTCTTTTAATAGCAAACTACAAATTTAAGAAGACTGAAGTAATTTAATGCTTATTTGAGATCTAAATGAGGCTGATTTATTTTAGGCAAATAGACAGTTCATTTTGCAAGTGAAGTTTCACTTTGCAAAGGAGTTTTCCGCAGAGCTTGGTGAATAGGTTGAAGCACGGATGACTTCCATCACCCAGTCATGTACAAGTGTAGCACCCAACCCAGGCCAGTTTTTTGCAATGTTGTCCCAGGTTCTATTCCCTATTGGGTGCACAGCAGCCACGCACGCAAATGTTTCCCAGCCTCTCAACACAATAACCAGGCAGCGAGTGTCTTTTTGAAGTTTAATGCTGGTGAGCCTTGGGATACTCCAAATTGAGTACAAAATTGTAACTGAGGACACTCTCTGGCATTATCTAACCCAGCAATGGGCAAACTACGGCCCACGGGCCGTATACGGCCCGGCGGACCTTTTAATCCGGCCCGCGGAGCTAGGCTCCCGCTAGGCTCCTCTCACAGTCCGCCCTGAAGATCGGTGTAGCATGAAAATCTGTTTCCTATGAGGATCCGTCCCCCCTCGACGTATCTGCGCATGTG